CATTCTTTGCGGTATGTGGGCCATGTGTAAACACATTGTGTGGGCCAGATCCGGGCCATTCCAGTTTTGCTATGTGGGGTGATTGTGTAACTTTATTAGCAGCCTTCTCCTGAAATGCGCCAACAACATTGAGAGTAACATCCTCCTCTGTGCCCCTTAATGCACTCTCGTCGTTATGGTAACGCGTAAATATATATTTTTTTAAATAAGTGAGTCTGAAGCTGGAAATCTAATGGGTGATGTTGAATGTTAGCGGTGTATATGAACCACAGGTTAGATGTCAGTTTAAGGAGAAAGACTAATTCCAGAGTAAGATGGATTAAGTAGGACACAGTGTCCACAGGGGAGAGAGTGGGGGCTGGAGAAGACTTCAGTGGACATGTAGGTGAAGAAAACAGATGTGATGAGGAGGTGTTCAGTAGGTATGGTATTAAGGAGAGAAACGCAGAAGGACAGATGTTGGTGGATTCTGATACTTCAGAAGGATGTGGAACATAGCATAGCAAGGCTAGCATGACAGTGGACACAGGAGGATCATATGCAGAAGGGGAGACTGTAAGCTGGTGTCAGAGGGGAATGCAGCCAGGCTCTGTCAGATGGCAGTCTGTAGAATGGCTTCAGACATTAAGAAGACAAAGCGAGTGAAGGCAGAGGCAAGGATTTAAATGGTGGAGGTTGAAGGAGGAGGAATAGTCCACAAAGTTCAGGGAGGAGCTGAGAAAGCACGACTGGAGTGCTGAGGAACTTCTGGTGTATCCTGTTGGACAGAGGAAGGAGAACATGAAGTTTTGGTGATACAGGAAAGCATTCACAGGAGGTTGGCAATAAGAAAGTTCAACAGTCATGGAGATGAACAAAGTAGACGGGAGTACTGGGAGGCTAGATGTACAACAAAGAGGGAGATGGCAAAGGAAAAGCGTTATGTGAGAACGAACACTGTGGAAAGAGAAAAGGAGTGGGTTCACCACAGCCATTTACAGTCTAGCCAAGGTCTAGACACACGTGCAGAGGAGGGAGAAAGGATTTGGACAAAGGATCTCGAAGATAGAGCAGCCAGCAAGGACGAAAAGAAGAAGACCACAGAGAAGGTTCCTGGATGTAGCAATGGAAGACATCAGGGGGGTTGGTGTGAGAGAAGAGGATGCTATGGGTAGGCTGAGACAGAGCCAGGCGATCTGTTGTAGTGACCCCCAAACGGAAAAGCCAAAACACGTCATAGAAGTAAGATTAAGGCATTTATGAGTGTTACATTTTCACTATTCCCAATCCAAAAGAAAACAGTCTCGCTGGGATACAGATCTTTCTCAGCTTTAACACTGCACACCCATCTGGTCACACAAGTCAGTGCAAGGCTTGTTCCCATGAGGAAAACTCCAGTGTGGGTCTGAAACGTGAGACCCTGCCAGAATGTCAAACTATGTCTGAATCACAGAGAACTTTGATCATTTGTTATTTTGCGAGAATTTGCTCTCGTGACTGCTTTTTTTAAGCTCTTAACTCTCTATGGCATGACAACTAACCACAGCATATGGTAAAATAGAGCGTTTCCTATCTCTATACCACCTGCAGAATATTTTTATTTCTTTCACTAAGCAGCCACTTTGTGTCAGGGAGTTAACCGGTAAGTAGCCAATATCACATTTCTAATGTGCTCTGCTTTGATTAGATTATATGCACCCACATGCTTACTTTGGCGTCCTTTCAAGGGCACTTTGAATAAGCAAACACCATTTGTCATCAAGTCACTGTAGTCTACTGTCAGTTTGGAAGAAAAATGAATCGTAATCAGATTACAGACACTCCTTTTCTACACAGAGTAACAGTAACAGCCCTCTTATTTGTCCAGTACAGGTGCCTGCATCACAAAACTGTTACACCATCAAGCAACAGCAAGAAGTCACTGCAGCTGATGAAAAACTATTTAAATTGAGAAACAAAAGTGCTTTCACCTCTTACACCAGACACAGAACAGCATCCACACATAAAAGCTATCAGTTGTTATTAGCCAACCAGCTAAAGTGTTAAGTCACAACATATGCCTCCGTCTTTTATTATCCTGGCACACAAGTAGGCGTGCCAGGATAAGAAAGATAACACATTAAAGTGGAAAGATTAGCCTGAGTAACAGGCCAGAGTAAGACTGAGTAAGCTTTGCAAAAGCCTGAGGCACAGGACATTTATCTAGCTGCTGTTTACTTCCCCAAGGACACTTTGGTTAATGACTGCCCACTTTAAAATCTACTGGCTTTTATTTTGCTGTATAGTTGCTGGACATGCATGCAATTTAACCGCTAAGGGAATGTTCAGTCAAAGGGTCGGACAACTGACAACGGCTTTCCTCTATAGCCCGAGCTGAGAATCTAACACATAAACCCAGGAAACTTTAACTAAAGGTTACATCTACAAGTAACTAATTACAATTACAATAGTATAACAAGTAATCAAGAGCAATTAAATACGTGGACTTCCTTATTCTTATTTATCTACATAATTACCACGGTTAATTTCAAAGCGTGAACAGTCACGTTGACCCATTCATTAAATACTTGTGGGAAAGTGCAGCGTGACGATGTGTTTTGCCAAATGATAATAACACAAAACACTCATCATCCACCATCCTGCAGCATCTGACTGAAGCCTTAAATACTGTGCATAAAAATATTTATGTGAAACACACACTGCACAACCACCTGTGTCACAAGACAAGGCGTGAAACTTGCACTGAGATACTAACGGTACAGTTTGGTATATTTTGTTGTGTATTTTGTATGTTTTTGGACAAAGACACCATAGTCGTCATATTATATTTTTACCTGCTGTGGAGCCATTTTTGGGAGCATTTCAAGTTGCTATACATCAATACAACCATTATAGCACAAATCTTAAAAACATGTCTGCATTATGTGCATAGCAATTACATAAAACTGCAAAGAATGCGATAAACTACAAAAAATTGAAAATAGTTTTTGTTTTTTTAACATATATTTCTAGTTAGAGAAATTTAAGAGGCTTATCCCTCAAAACTGTAAATACAAAAAAGTTGCACAAAAGTTTCCCACCACAGGAAACTTAATTTAAGTGTCTTCATAGTTTTATTTTTGAAAGACACCAATTTTTATACACTGCAGGAAAAACGAAAATAAATATTATAGTGCAAATTTGCAAAAAAGCAGCATGTGCATCAAAATAAACTATTTCCAGCAGTGCAATATGAGTCCTCAGCATCCCAGAAACCACACAGAAAGTCATGAAGTCAAACATAACTTTTAAAAACACCAGTATAGGCTCATAAGGCCGCGATGGTAAAAAACTACATTTCTGCAAAATGACGTCACTTCCGGTTTCGGGCAGGTCATGGCGGACATGTGATAGTTCATGCTGATGAACGGAGGAAGTGTTACGAACAGCTGATCGGATCGGCAAAGCGTGTTTCTGGAATATTATGTTTTTGTTGCTGCAAGTGCTTTTTATGCAGTTTTTGCAAAGCTATATGTGGAAGGAAACCGTGACCGAGGACAAGCTGATGGCATAAGATGTAAGTACAACTCCTCCGGTTTCATATGCAGAAAAAATTATTGCGCTAGCTCACGTGGTTGCAGAGCTACCAGGATTTAAAAATAGTTACGCAAAATGGAGCGTGCCCGCTCTGACCGGCTTTAAAGGGTTAAACCCAGTCTCTCATTTCCATCATCTCTACAGAAACTACACCCATTCCAATTATTTTAAAGCACCGCCTTTGATGAAGCAATCAATGTGCTGTGGGTTGGTGTCTTGCAGCGTCTATCACCCTCAGACGCCATGTTTCACTATTCCCACCTCCCTCCATTGTGAGGACTATCTCACACAGGCCCAGAGAGCGGATGTTGCTGCAATGCAACAGCGTTTTGCAGATGTGTTCTCCATCCTGCCTGGTTGTACCACTCACATAGAGGACAATTTTGACAGGCGCCCTGGCGTGATGGTGTGCTCACGGCCCTATCAGTTACACAAAAGACAAATTGTTAAGATGGAAAAGGCGGAAGTGCTGAAAATGGGACTAATAGAAGATTCACGCCCCACAGTTTTTGTGGTGAAGAAAGATGGGTCTATATGGTTCTGTGTTGACTACCACAAGACCTGAACGAGGTCTCACAGTTTCATGCGTATCCCATTCCCCGGGTCGACGGGGTGGTTGATTGCTTTCGCCATTACCTCCTGGGGCGCTCTTTCAACATCTGGTCAGATCAAACCCTGCTGCAGTAGCATGAAGCATGAAGCATGCCAACAGCCAGATCACCCAGTGCTATCTGGCCTTACAGCCTTTTAAGTTCAAGCTGGTCCATAGGCTGGGGGTACACATAGTCACTGCTGATCATGGGGTAAGGTGGGCTAGGCTGCACGGCTCCCCGGCCTAAGTCAGAAGTGGGGGTATGGGACAGGGTGTGGTCTGTGGCTCAGCTGTAGGGAAGGGGAGGAGCAGTGAGTTCACGGTGTGGCGTCATCAGCTAATTATGCGTCCTCTATTTGAGCACAATGCAGGGACCTGATGATAGAGCAGTGATTGGCTGAGCTGGAGTGTGGCAGCTGGAAAGCTGTGGAGTGGACTGACTGAAAAACACTGTAAATAAACATACACTTGGGTGTGGTTTAGCTCAGTGGGATGAGCGGGCAACCGTATGCCATATGGCTGAGAGCGGCGGGCCCGGGCTCAGGGTTTGAGTCCGACCCGCGGACACATCCCCCCCCCTCACTCTCTCCCTCTGCTTTCCTGTCAGTCTTCACTGTAACTATCCAATAAAGCCAGAGAAAGGCCTAAAAATAATCATTTAAAAATAAACATTTCATGGGCAACGAGAATATGATTCCCAGAGACTCGTGAAAACATGAATATTGATGTTTAGCATGATTTAAACGTGTGTGTTTGTATCATCGTTTGATCATTTTAATGATATATTTGCTTTTCTTACCACAACACATAGAAAGCTTTGTAGCTAATTATAAACACTTTTTACTCGGAATACCTCATTGAGAATGCTTTCCAGTGTGGGAGGTGTGTCCACTTGTGGAATGTCAAACTCCTTATCATCAATCTGAGAACAAAAGTCAAACAGAAACATACAGGATCAGAACGCTGCACTAGTGTCTCGGTTTCCTGCTTTAACTTATCAAGTACACAATGCATTTTAGCACAACACAAGAGAGCATACAGCACAATTATGACTACAATTTATAATAATCAATTGTAATTTGTGACTGAACATTCTTCAAACTAAGCTTTGCTTTGCAAGGAAAACACATTTGTGAGCAGCAGAGTTGAGTATGTGGGTAGTGCCCATGAAAAACCAGCTTGTTTTGCTATTTACTTTATTTGTTGTTTGGTGCTGTTTGATGCCCGGAGTCTAAAGAATCAAGCTACATTTGCAACTTAACACTTTTTCCATTTAACAAACTGGAGCTTCAGGAGCATGTGGAAGTTTTAATCACTGGACTGGTTCAGGACAGTCTGACTGTGGAAGCCGAGGCCAAAGGTGCTTAATCCACATAAACCACCTGCATAAAGAGCTGCAGACTGCAGTTTACAGACTTATCCCGTCCAGCCATTACAACTTAAAGGAAAGTTTTCACTGCAGGGAAATTTACTGAGTCTGAAGGTTGATTTTATATGGACAACAGCTGATGCACTTCTGCCCATGAGGAGCACAGACTTCATTTCTGCTGCTCCTCTAAATTTCTTCTCTGTAAGAATTATGAGTCTGTGTGCTAAAAGAATTATTTGACACTATTTCCCTTTTTCAGCAGATCGAGCTCCTGCAGACTCCAGATGAAACGTCCACTCTGTGTGTGGCTCTCACAGCAAACACTCGGTCACATCCAATAGAGACGACTGTGCTGCGGTTTGCAGACACGTGTAACAAAGCTTCCATACACAGCTTTGCATAATGGACACATGTAACAACAGCTGCTCCATCCTGAACTCTCCGCTCTTTAAGCCCAACATAAATGACAAGCACTGCACTCTGTGTGTACACATGCTTAGATGCAGTTGACCAACAGATGGCAGCATTAGATAGCTACACTGTATTATGAGAGCCTTCCATAAATATGTGCTAAGGTTACAATGCAGGGATATGTTACTAAGATTACTTTACATGACAGCAGCACAGTGTCTTGTGAAGCCTGTTAGGAATGTCTCAGTTGAAGGAAGAGACCCTACAGAGTAGAAAAGCACATTTTAATTACTGCTGAAACACAGTCCACTGTGTAATATCATAATTAGGGGCAGATCCTTCTGACAGAGAGCAGAACAAAAAGCAGTCAAAATCCAGAACGAGCTTTGACTGTCCTCATGAAGCCAGAAGACTCCTTAAGAAGCTGCTGACTGTCTAACTCCAACTGAGGTTGTAGGCTTCAGGAGGCAGCTAACACAAAGAAAGAGCTCAAAGCCCAAAGCTGCTTTTCCATTTATGGATCAATTTTCTGATACTTACTAATGGAAGATTTGTTTTCTTTCAGTTGCCGTCTCTTTTCTTTCTCTTAATGCAGGCAAATGCTTGTGCAATTAAATTAAAAGAACCCATCTTTTTGCCCACATTGTCTAGAAAGTCTTGCTCCTCAAGCAAACAGCAGCCAAATGGCCAATCTAGCAGGATCCCCTAAGAACTTGCTATTACTTCATCATGATTTAATCACACAGCTTGATTCACTGAACACAGATTCAGGTGCTGGAAACATTTCCCAGGACATTTCTTCGAGATTGACATGATAGAGCTGGTGCAGTACAATGCAAATGTCCCATCACGTCCCAAAGCTGCTCTGTTTGGATCTGTTGGCTGTTTAGGCCATCTGAGTACAGTGAACTCATCATCATATCTGAGCTGATATGAGATGGCGTTATCCTTCTGGAAGCAGCCATCAGAGAATGAGCACAGTGCTGTCATAAAGGGATGCTCTTGTGCATATCGTGGTTGTAACAAGTGGTGACTGACTTCTTCTTGCATTCCTAACAGCACGAAGCAGACTCGCCATTCTTCCCAGTCCTTTGACAACAGCAAGGCTTTTTCTCCCAGGGAAATACCCAGGAAATTATGCACTAAATTCATACCATGTGATTGGCTGATTTAAGAATTCCCATTCAAATGCAGTTAAACAATTGTACTTAATTGTACCCAATGAAGTGGACAATTAGTGTTTCTTAGGAAAATCTGAGATCATGTATTAGAAGAACTAAAAAGAAATGCATCTGTGCACTGAAGGAGTTTTTGCAGAGGACAATGAACACTGTTTTATACAAAACTAATGCTGAGAGTGTAAAAAATGTCATTTAAAAATGCAACAGCTCATCTTTTGCTTTTAAAAAAGGAACATTCTCCTTAAAACTGGCCACAGATGCACCGATCAGCCAGGGACAAGGGCCAGGCAGCCTCGCATATATTATTATGAACCATTTGATTTTAAGCATGCACAGCACTTGCTCAGCAGCACAATGTCGCTCACACATTCACAGAACAAGCTAACATGTGGTTAGCGTGGAAGCTCTTTGCTGTGAGTGCAGAAACAAAGCAAACTGCAAAAATGTGCGTGACAACAAACCTCATCAGACACTAAATCACGTTCACTCAGCTGAACTTTAAAGATGATAACAAAGTGGATACAATTAACAACATCCAGAGCTCAGAGGCAGCTAGCCTCGTCATGAGGACCCAAGAAGGTTAAAGGACAATTGGGGAGAAAAAGAAAAAAGCACTGATTTCCTGTTATATGCTGAAGTTAGAAACCTCTGATGGTAAACGATGGACGCACTTGACATTTGTTTTGTTACAAAAATCTCTGCACTTGCTTTTGTCTGGTGAGGTAAAGGTGGGAGGCTGTACACCAGCTTATTCTCTCTTCATCTGCTGCAGCTCTCCAGTAGCAGTGCATGTTTTCAGTTGTTTCAATGACAGAAGATCATGGAGCTTACAGCACTTTGGGGGAAATTAGAATTATTTCTCTTTTTATAATATTTGCATTGAAGAAAAGTTGTTGGGTTTTTTTGCTTTTATTTAATGTCAGTTATAGCTCTTAGAAAGAAAACTGGAATCTGCAAAAAGGACCAGGTCAAACTAAGGAAAAGAGAAAAGCAGAAATCGGATGATCTCTATGACTGTCTTATATAAATACAAACGTCCACAGCTGATTTGTTTATTGCCAGTCTGGGGAATCGATGTTTTCGGGGTTTTCATTTAGATAAACTGTGCCACGTCCCGACAGCACAGTGAGAACTACTTGATTACATCCCAAAACGTTGATTCTGCTCGTAAAACCAGTTCATTCTAAGCGTGTGCAACACATTAACTTTTGGGGATTTCCTCACCTGGATGATTGCGCATGCATCACATGACAGCTGTCACACTTTAACATACAGCCTTGGTCATAAATGGGTTCACCAAGCTCACCTTGGAAACAGTAATGCTGGTATGGGCTTTCATCACTACATTAAATCATATTATGCAATTTGAAAAAGTGTAAACAAACAGGCGCCACTGGGCCTCATTTTGAGCCATCGGAGGATAATAATGATCGTTATTAACACGGCGTTTCTGCCCTTTCACGTGAGAGTCCCGTGCGTTGGTGATTTATTGCAGTCGCATGTCATTCTTTCACACCTAGATCAAGGTGTAGTCCAGCTCTTCATGCACCTCTAAACGTCACCGCTGTCAGCTGAACTACACCCCAGCGGAGTTCGTGCTCCCGCTAACCCCACACAGCAAAGCAGGACGAATAAAGAGCCTCTCACCGAGTCCACTTCCATCAGGTTCAGCTGGGAAGAGGCAGACAGTAGGCTGTGGGAGTCCGGGGAATGCGACATGTCTCTGTTTACACGGACAAAACTCGGACCGCTGCAGAAAACAGAAGCGCTTTCCGTATATTGATCTACGCATGCGCGACAATGCGTAGACAATGCAAATCGGAACTCGAAAAGGGCTTTACGTCCTTCCTTTCACAATAAAAGCGCAGGACTCATACAGTGAGTGAACTAGGCTCAATCCTCCCAGTGACCCTGTGGACAAGTGGAAATAAAAGGATGGACAGACATTACCTCGTTAAATTAACTCTGGCTATAAAGCCTATTTAATCAATGAAAAAATGTTTAAAAAAAAAACCTTTAAAAGTAACTGCACAAACAAAGAAAAATTTGTGTAATTACCAATCAAATCATAAGAAATATTCATTGATATTGTATAATACGTGTCTCTTTAGTTGTACACTAAACATATTTCACACAAAATATTTTCATCTGTTTTAAAAAATACAGTAATATATGCTTATGAGGTTTGGCTTGAATTCAAACTCTGCTTTGTACATTCTGCATTTCAGAAAAAATCACAAAGAAAATTCCTTACAAAATGCACACACAAGAAGCTTAAAACTCTCCTGCAACTGAAGAGTTTTAACTGATGTAAGGAAAGACAACCACTTTGTAGAAACAAGCAAAAAATAGATGCAGATACTGCTACTGAGGTATTTTAATCAGAATCTCAATCATAAATTCTTTTCAAAATAAAAAATATATGTAGATTTTATAAAGGATAGTAAAATCACTGTCTCACTCCCTGGGGATGGTATGTGTTCCTCAAGCTCCTCGGGAGTTTGAGGGATCTGTGCATCTTAGCTGATCCTAGGACTGCACTCTTCTGGACAGAGACCTCTGATGTTGTTCCTGGAATCTGCTATAGCAACTTTTCTACTTTTGGGAGTTATAGCTCATAATAATAATAATAATAATGGATTGGATTTATATAGCGCTTTTCAAGGCACCCAAAGCGCTTTACAATGCCACTATTCATTCACTCTCACATTCACACACTGGTGGAGGCAAGAGAATTACCTATTATCACTGGGATGTTCCTTCAACATCTGCTCCAACTGGTCCTGCAGTCCCTGGTAATTCTCTGGTTTCTCATTTTCTTTCTTCAGACTTTATCCTTCAAGCTCGGGTCCTCTACCAGACGCCTGGGAGCTTGACAATCCTCCGATCCTCCACCTCTCTGTCGTCCCTTGGTATTTTTCATTGATCATTTATTTCGAGCACTTGCGTACATATGAACAAAATAGAGCATGTATACAGGAAGGAAAACACTGTCTCCTAGTACAACAGGTGCTCGAAAAGGAGTGAGAAGAAGTAATTCTCATATATCTGTGAAGGTTCTCAGTTATCCAGGTCATTAACGCTTTTCTTTCCAAGGAGCTTGGAAAGAAAAGCGTCTGGACTTCTTTAAGTTGCTTGAAGACGTTTCACGTCTCATCCGAGAAGCTTCTT